CTACGCCTATCACCCTTACTATGCCGCTTACTATGCACGTAAGTATATCTTTTATTTTTTTTTATTTTTTATTTATTTTTTATTTATTTTTATTTTTATTTTTATTTTTATTTATTCTTTTGTTTGTTTGTTTCTTCTTTGTTGTTTTTTGTTTTTTTTATTGGTGAGCTCTGTACTTATGCTGCTTACATATAAAAATTTTTCTTTTTTTCTTTTCCTTTTTTTTTCTGTTTCTTCTGTTTTTTCCTTTTCTCCTTCTTTTCTTCTTTTTCTTTTTTTTTATTTTTTTATTTTTTTTATTTTTTTATTTTTTTTTTGTGTATGATATTCCTTTTTTTTTCTCGTTTTGCCGTCGCTGCTCCCGCAACATTAAATTTCAATTCTACCTTAATACATATTATTTATTTATATTTATTTATTTTATATTTATTTATTTATATTTATTTATTTATATTTATTTATATTTATTTATTTATTTATATTTATTTATTTATTTATTTACAGAGATGGCGGCAGCTTATGGCGGCGGCGGCTACGGGGGGGGGTACTCACAAAGCCCCAGCGACGGGGTGGGGGCGGATAGGAGTTCAGGCCGCATGCATCCCCCTTCTCGTTCTACTCCCTATTAAATAATTAAATTAATTTATTTATTTATTTATTTAATTAATTTAATTAATTTAATTTATTTTATTAAATTAATTAAATTATAACCACCCATCTCACTCGTACAGCAGCCCTTTATATACCGGCATCGCTGCCGCTGCAGAGCTGCCTATACACCCGAAATTCAAACAAACGCAGCGGCAGCAGCAGCAACTGCAACAGCAGCAGCAGCAGCAGCAGCAGCAGCAGCAACTGCAGCAGCAGCTAACAAGCAAGAGACCGTGTATAACCCTCGCCTCAACGCACTCTGCATTTCATCTCCTTTGGCTGTGGGAAGCGCCCGCCCTCATACAGACTCTTGTCTAGCTAGCTAGCTGAGTAGCTAGCTGGCTAGCTAGCTAGCTAGCCATATAACAAACTGGCTAGCTAGCT